TTCCAGCTTGTCTCTGGGCCAGAACTCTCAGAGTTATAAAGAGCAGAGAGCAGAAAAGGACAATGGGTGGGAATTAGAAGGAAGCATATTTTAGTTCACCATCAGGACAATCTCTCTAATGGGGTTAACAAATTACCAAAAACCTTCAAATATAAATTGCATGACTATGTATTAGGAGTGCAGTGAAAAAAATTCCTATATTCATAACAAGATTTGTGTATACAATATCAGTGGCAAATGGTTCCTCTCCTTTCATCTTCCTTCTTCTTTTTTTCCCCTCAAATTTTACCAGCTAGATTATGAAGGTCTTACAACCTCAGGGTGGTGCAAGTTGATGGTTTAATTTTTAAGCTTAAAAAAATAGTTACTTTTTATGTGTTAAGCATGAGTTCAGATGAACTGCATCTTAGAAAAAGTAGGAATGGTTTTAAAATCACTCTCAACGCTAATTCTAACCAGCAGCGCATCTTTTGACAGATTTATTCACTGCCCTGAACATGAAAATTTTATCTAGAAATGGGGATAAAAAAAGTGACCTGTCTGTGTATACACACAGAGAGACACATATACAGCCTATTCATATATACATACATATACTGTATATGCTAGATACACATAGTTTCTCACTTAAGGACGTTTTTGTATGTAAGTTCACATTACGCCACTTCGCTTTTACAGAAGACCTGCACTGGTACCTGCTTTCACTAACTGAAAGACATCTGAAGAGAATTTTCACTTTTATGGGAAAATAGCCCGAAAGTGACCATAGGGTTCAGGGTTGGTTTGGCAGCAGCTGTGTTAGAGGTAGCTCCACCCCAAGTAGCCACAGTCACCCCACCAAGCTCCTTCCCCAGGACCTACACTCAGTGTCCCAGCATCAACTGCCAGAGTTCTGACCTGTGTCTGTGAGCATCTGTGCTTTACCTCGATTTATTTCGTGCATCATTAGCAAGATGTGTCCTAAGGTATCAGAAAAGCCTAAGAGAGGTGATTTTGGGGGGGGGCGGGGTGGGAACACTCAAAAATGTTCCATATAAATTCATGGTAATTGTTTCTTTGCTTCACATCATTTCAGTTTGCGAAAGGTTTCATAGGAATGCTCTACTTTTGGAGAGTAGGAGAAACCCTATATCTTAAAATATGACGTTTCTTTTCAACAGGTAGCTGGTAGTAATGGTTAAGTTTTATTGTCCCCATATAATGTGTCTGGCTGGTACCCTGTTTCTTACCCCATTACACATTACCTCTTTAATTGTCACCGTACTCTGTGAGGAGGAACTATACAGATTAGGAAAACAAGGTTTAGAGCATGGAAATTTTCCCCTAATAGGGCTAATAAGTGGCACAGTTGACATTGGAATTGACAACATCATGACATGGGATCTAGATTTTTTACTTTTAAAGTGATACACTTAAAGTTGCAGGGTACTACATGGAATGCTATCATCATGATTTTCTTCTTAGAAAAAAATACCTACAGATGTTCACTCTCAATCTATTAATGATGCAGTGGGTGCTGTTATTTAATTAATCTTTCCTATTCAATAAATACCTCTTTGTCTCAAATTATGCAGTCCAGAAAGGTGAAAATGAGTTGGTTAATAACAAATCAGCCCATATGGTTATGGTTTATGGTTAGCATAAATCTAAGCAGGACTCTCTCTCTCTCTCTCTCTCTCTCTCTCTATATATATATATATATATATATATATATATATATATAATTTTAGTGCCAACAGTTTTTGTGGGTGAGTTGTGCAAAGTGTGATCAATGTCTGTTATATCTGTCTCAATACTGGGTATACACCTTTCCACAGTGTTTGGGCAAGAACTCTGGACATAAGATATTTCTTCTTACCTAGGTATGGAATGTGTTGCTTTGGGAAGGCAGGGCTGTGAGGTTGTAAATGTATTTATTTTCTTCCCTTGAAAACTTTATGTAGTCCTTGAGAGGTACACCGATGTATCCCTGAAAAGTTGAGTTTAAATTTAACTTTTTGAGAATAAAATTGATTTTAAATGCTAATCATTCAAGGGAATTCTCATGAATTTCATGGGGCAAATAAATTATTTCCTTATTTTTATTTTGAGCAAACCTTCATTTTCATATATCTGCTTTGCTTTCCCTGTATCTGTAGCCATCTGCTGAACTAGAGTGAGGCTCTACTGAGTCACCTCCCCAACACTCATGCCAGGTATAGACATGTATGATTTCAAAAATAAACCAGTGAACACCAAATTTGTAAGGTAAGTTTCCAAAGCCCCAGTATCTCTGTTAATTACCTCTACTGTTTAGCTTTGGAAAGTAATCAAGAGAGATTAGTTGAGTTCCTGCTATCATGAGAGAATCGTGGATGAGCTTCCATTTCATACGAGCAGTAAACAGGCTGGAAAGAACACTGGCTTGGCAGTTTTGATCAGCAGGCTGGAGTCTGCTTTTCTCCCAAATGAGTTGACTTTGGTAAATTGCTTAGCTTCCTTGGGCTCAGTAGGCTCATTGGGAAAATGGCAGTAAAAACGTCTTCCCTTCCTACCGCACAAAGTTCATCAGGATCAAATGAGAAATGATGTGTGAGGGTATTTATAAAGCACAAAGGGCTTCACAAATTTAAGTAAGTTTTACAGTAAATCTAATTAGGTGTGTGGTGCCTTAGATACTCTGTCGTCTTCTTTCGGAAGCATTGGCAGCAAAGATGAGTCATTAAAAGAAATGCTTTAATAATAATAGTAGTAGTAGTAGTAGTAGTAGTAGTACTTACTACACCCAATAAATATTCCTACTTTGGCCCCCTAGAACAAATCGGAACGCAGATCCCACTGCCACTTGCCTGTAAGCAATGCTTGCAGTGCATCCCCTCTCTTCTCGGCTTATCCCTTTCTTTTCCTCCAGCCGTTCCTAGGTTCTTATGCCTCATGCTTTTGACTGGTTGGCATTCCACCCAAGGTTACTGGTTTTGATATCGTGTCCTGCTTTATAATTTTTATTAAACTGACTTGCCTTCAAAATATCATATGCCACATTCTCAAAACTCTGAATACGTAACTAGTTTATTAACCTGACGAATAGCAAACATTGAACAAATTCCTGTAATTGAGCTGAATTGACTGAAGTATAAATGGGAGACCTTGACTTTGATGTCACTGTATCCTAATGACATTCGGCATGGTTAGAATCTTCAGAACTTTTCCCCAGAGATGAGAAATGAAAATTTCACTTTTTTTTTTTTTTTTTGGCTAGTAGACTGTTTTGTGTAACTTAAAACTTGGGCTAAAAATTGATTAGTTGCCAATATTTAAAAATATGAAAATATATCATAAAGTTCCATGTTTCTGACTTCTCCTGAAATATCAGAGCATGCCGTGATATTGGATCCTCTGTAGCAAACATAGCAGTGCATTGTGGGGCGGCGGGGGGGGGGGAATAGGGAGGGGAGTGTAGAGGAGGGAAGCTGGTTCCTTTAGAAGAATAAGCTGTATTCAGTACTAGGATCCCCACCAGTTCCACTGGATTTATTTATGTCATCTTGTACAGCCCCTATAGGACCTGAGTTTGTGACTCTCGATAAACCCACAGAAATAACCTAATTTAATCTTATCTCATAACCAGTTAGTCATGGGTGAAATCATGGACAGATGGTTTAAGGTGAACATATGTTGTTGATCCATTTCTCTTATTTCATTAACCATTTGCCAGCATTTTAAACAGTCTAATCATATGTCACAAACTATAACTGGAGCAGCAGTTTATAAGGGGAAAATCTAGAGTTTTGTTGAACTATATTATTTTCAAATTTGAAACGAAAGCTGCTTTGAGTTTTGATTGGCAGATCAAAGTAGAATTTTACCAGCTCAATAAATGTGAGTCATAGGCATGTTCCAAACTCCACACCTACCACATTCCTGTGATGTCAGAGTACCTCAAAGGGCATCTCTGGTATGGGGGTTTTTACAAAATACGGTTACGGAAAGTAAAATGCCTCCCATGAAATGTCACCATAAGTGATATATTAAAGACAAGGAGGAGAGGACTTGGCAACTTGACACTGGTAGCACCTTAAAACTTCTAGAGTTTTCTGAAAGCTTCACAAACTCCTTCCTTCATTCCCCATGCATAAGGGGAGAAAAGTTGATATGGCTAAACCCAAGACAAGGAAAAATGGGGCCATATTAGTAGCAGGGGGCAATTTAACAGGAGGATTATAAATAATATTATTCGGAAAAAATCCTCTCTCTCTTTTTTTTCTTTTCAATTTCTAAAGTTCCCCTTTCCTCAACTCAGAGTTAAAACCTGGAGCCCTGGGATTCAGCTGTGGGCCTATCGAAAGAGACCAAGGCAACTGCTTGGTAGACCTCAGTGAAGGTCATCAATCAGAAGCATAGAAGTTGTCTGTGTGATTCCATATGGTCTGGAACAGGTCACCGGCTAGAAGTTTCTCAGATAGAGGTTTGGGGTTGAAGTATTTTTATATATGTACAAACAAGAGGACATTTCCAGTGTGGCTATAGCCATGGTGAATGACCAAAGAATAGGGGATCTTGGCTTCAAAGACAGATAATATCTATGCATTCCCAACAGAAGGCCTTCCCGTATGTCTGGCTTTGAGCAAGGGCAAGTTAGCCTAATCATCACCAACCAATTGTTCAATTATCCACTGGGCTAAATAGACAGTGGCTTAAGGGTCTAGGGAGAGGAGGCAGAGCAGATGCCAAGAGAACATTTCATTTGACACATAGACAACCACATCCTGCACAACTAGTAATTCAAACTCTCTCTGAGGATCCATGTAACTTGGTGAGCTATTGGCTCGATAATATACTGTGTATGAAAATGTTCAAAATCATCAAAGAAGACCATGGCAATGGGGATTCCAAACCTCAGTTCAGCATTTTCTGCTTGTCTTGAGTCAGAATGAATTTGGTGTAATTAGAAAGAAAAGGATGTATAAAAATAACTGCAATGATAGTCACAGAGAAATAACAAATGTATAGCATCTGCGGAGTTACTTTTTCTTCTTGACAAACTCACAGACAAAGTACATGGTAAGATGGCACTCTGTGTCATTCCATCTGCCTGAGCTCAGCATTTCCACACAGTCCTCGTGACCATAGGGGTCACTAGGCTCCCCCTCTCTCCAGTTGCTGTAGTTCTGTAGCGGAGTGTTGTCCGTGAACACATACTGTCCCTCCTTCTCAAGGTCATTCACCCCGATGAAAACCCGGAAAAAGCCACTCTTGGCCACATAGTCAGCGATGAGTGTGTTGGCAGCTTCGTCCTTTGGCATGGCCAGCATCCCACCCCGGATCCGGCAGTGGGTCAGGGATTCCCTATAGTTCTTCTCCTCTTGCACGATGTAGTAGAATTTCTCCTCAGTTTCCCTAATCCCTGCTATGACTTTGCAGAGAGGAAAAGATGAGCATGATTAAGCATCTCAAAAGGAGAAAAGGCAAGTATATAATATTGCTGGATTTAAATTCATTTATTTGGTGTTCAACAATTATTTTGCAAGTCCCTAGTATGAGGTAGGCACTGGTTAGATATTTTTATCACCTTTGTAGTTATCAAATGGAAAACAAGTTCTTGCCATTTGTCCTCCCTGTCCTTCCCCCTTAACTTCCCACACAACTGTGGAGAAGAGACTATTTTGACAAAGGTTTGTTATATGAGTTGCCACTCAGCTCCTCTCAGACTATTTTCCCATCCTACTTTATGCTTTGCCATACTTAGAGTCCCAAGAGCATGCCCTTCTCTCTTCCATTTCCATGACTTTCATGGCTGGAAAGTCTTCTCACTGCTTTACCTGGAAGACTCCTACTTGTCATTTAGATCCCAGTGGAAATATTTTCTCCCGTAAGAGCCTTTCCAATGTCTCTGGACAGGCATGGGGCTCTTGTGTACACTCGCCCATGTTTCCATAGCTCTTCCTCTTCCTCTTTTGTACCACTCAACACATTCCAGTCTAATTGTTGGTCTGCATGCCTCATGTACTAAACAATGAATGTCTTGGGGACAATGACCATGTTTTTACCACTCTGTAGCCTCAGAGCCCACAAGAGTGCATGGGATGGTAAAAGCTTAATGAATGGACATAGGAATAGAATAGAAGTTTGTCCCCTTTGGGCTGAATTCCTGGGCTATGAACATGTACGTAGATTGTGTTTGTCCATGTTCACTCCATGTACATGAGGTACTAAGCTACTGAATAAGCTTCAGGACAGAATTGGGGACTCAGAGTCATTCTGAGCTCATAATATGTTAAATATGTTTTAGGCTTTGGGAGCATCTACATATATTTCTTTGGGTCTATAAATCAAAAAGTTACCAAGAAATCTGTGACCATGCCAATAAATGTCAAAAACTATTGCTCTATGTGGAAGCTCTATGGTCTGTTTTTTTCTTTTTTTCATGAGAATCCAAGTCATGTCAGAGACAGTGTCTCAGTACTAATTATAACCAGATTTATAATTAAGAGTATTACAAGATGAAGATGAACGCAAGATGGCATGTGTGTGTTTCTAATAATGTACAACAAACATAGCTGGGTTTCATTAAATAAAAGAACCACAAAAGAAGACCAGTTTCAACTGTAACTACAATAGATTCCTCATTCATACTGTTTCAGAAGAGAACACATTAAGCCACTTTAAGGGCTTCACTGTTAACTACAGTGGGGAAGTGGCAAGGGGTAACAAAAATGCCTAATGTGACAAGTTGCACAATTCAGAGAAACGCATAATGTTCTGTTGATGTGTTTTGAGGGTAGAGCCATCTGTGAAACCAGTATTCGAATCCCTGATCCCCTGTCAATTAGCTCTGTATCTATGGGCAAGGTAATTTCTCTAAGCTTCAGGGTAATCACAATACCTACACCCTGGGTATAAATTCAAGTGCTCAAGAAAATAGCTATTGTTTTTACTATTACTTCTCTTTTCTGAGAGGCTAGCTCTGTTGGACTCTTCCTGTCCCTTTTTATTCTTAAGGAGTGGCTTGCCAAACTCTACTCTTTTCTCCATTCCCCTCTCTCCAGAAAGTATCTTTTTCTATCCATAGGCAATGTAATACATGTGAGTATAGGTAGGTAGTGTCCCAGCGTGTCCTGGAGTCTGAGAGGAGAGTTAGCATGTTGAGACACCTGTACATCAGTGACACCATCTCAGTAGGCCTTTGCCTGACCCTAGGTGTTCCCCACTAGGAATACTGGAATTGTAATGTCAAAAGAGATTAAATTGGTAAACAGCACAAGGCAAAAGAGGATATACTCACCATTCTTGACAAACTTCATAGATGTTTTGAGGCGAGCAACACTAATATCCAGTTGTCCAACAACTTTCCGGTACCTTCCGCAGTCACAGACGGTGCCTTTTAAATGACAAAAACTGTGAATTCATGTTGGAGCACATGAAGATCAGTTGGAAAGGGCAGTTGCTCTCTTCTCGAACTTTACTATCTTTTCCTAGTCTGGTTATATTTTTCTGTGAATGGCTATACTTTTAGTCTTTTACTTAAAACAAGGCTTCTACATTACATTGTCTTCAGGAATTTACAAAATACCTTTTTAAGTATTTTGGATGAGTTAAAACACAGCTCCAAACCAGATTTTTAAAAAGAAGAATAAATATGGCCAACCCCTGCACACATACTGTGGACCATTTGGCATTTTTGTTGAACACAGAATGTGTCCATCCAATCTCAAAATAAAATCTTTACAGCTTTCTTAAAACAAATTTCTAGCCAGTCTTCTCTTCTCTTAACTGCATTGCTCACTGGCTCACACAACTTTCCCAAGACAGGAGAAAACTTTCATGATGAAACCAAATGATAATTCTGATTATGCATTTCAAGTACAGCTTGAATGATCCTTGAATGTTTCAAGGACTAAGTTGAAGTCTTGTGAATAGATTCAACTTATAATTTCAAGAGCCAGTTGTCCCATTTGTGGATTAACTCTGATTTTAATTTCTGCCATTCATTCCCTCTTTGCTCATTTACCTTTTCAACTACCTGCTGATACTGTGACAGAGAAAGAAATTTAAGGAGAATGATGTGAAATTCAAATGATCCCCTTTTTCTATTTAACGGCTGCTTCATGTAATCAGTCCCTTTTGCTTTCTTCTTCGGCAGTTGAAAAGCAAAAAGAATTTTATTAGCCAAAGGGGGGAAGAATCTGTGGCTTTATTTATCCATATTCACAGTTAAATATAAGAAATTTAAAACGGTTCTTAGAATTAGTCTTCACTACAACTCTGTGACCTCCCCCAGAGCAATCTACTTTCTTTCCCTGCACATAGCACTGGAAATCAAATTCCTTCAGGACTCAGGGAGACTCTCCCTAACCACTGAAGGCACATTCTGTATCCATGGGGTCTTTCCAGATGGGGCCAGTTTGCTGTGGGCAAACTGCTGGCTCCTGTTTGGTTGAGATGCTGGTGGAATGTAGGGCACACTGGTACAGTCCTACTGCTGAGGCCATGGTGGATTTTCCTCTGCTTTAGGACAATGAAGGCTGTTTCCTGATGTGCTGGGTTTGCTTCCTCCCACTAAGCATGACTAGGATGGAATGTGCCATCATTCCCTTCCCCAGGGCTTGGAAAGTCACCAGCAGATAGAGAGGAAAGTTCCCTTCTTTCCTTCCCTCTAGCCCAAGCAAAATAAGGTTAAGCATTGAGAGGACTATTGTTTTTTCATAAAAATGTATTTGTTTTTAAAGATGAATACATTTGGAATGATGCTAGAAATTTAAGAGAAAACTGAACATGCCGTACCTGCTTTGCCTTTTCCTCCTGGCACCCCGGGCAAACCCTTTTCCCCTTTGTCACCTGAATAAAAACAACAGCCATGAAAAGAACAATTAACTAAAATGGTGGAATCATTTCTGGCAGGCGATATCTTCTATACCTAAAAACATAGGAAAGAGTTTTTAAATTTCATTTACAATATCTCCAACTAATATTCCCTGGTTTTATATAAATAATTGGATTTTGAGGTGGCTGCACGGGTACAACTAATCAAACAAGTCATAATTTATTTAGATTGAATGTGGAATTCTGATGGGGGTCAAAGAAACATTTAAATTTGCGTCACCTGTCCTAGTAACATGGCCTTCTGAGAAAGGCTAATACAATTCTCTGCAGGCTTTTAACTTTCAAAGTACCATTGTTTTGTATATCTGAATTAATTGATTAGTACATTGCAGTGTCTGTGTATTTATTATGCTCCCAAGTTCTTCCATATGGCTTTGCCTTGGATTTTCAAACACATATATTGTGCTTTTTCAATTTAATTCAAATATTTACTATTTATTACTTACTCTATGCAAGACAAAAAGCTTGGTACTTTGAGAGGATATAAAGAGAGACAAGATTAAACTGACTTGAAGGGTTTTATGCTTTTGGAAAAGATGTGATGTATGCAAATATCCATAATATAAAGTTGTGTCAAATATATTATGCAGAAATATCAGCCTTGATAATTTTCCCTTCTGCTCTGCTTTGTATGTGGCCATTTTCTTATGCAGTCAGAGACATCCACAAAATAATCCTCAGAGAATCAGGATTATTAAAGCAGAGAGAAAAAAATGTTGATTTTTTTTTTCAACTTCAAAATAAGCCCTTGAAGCCTACATCAGACACAATAATTGAAAGCAAAAGCTTTTGATTTCCAAGAGGAAATGTTTGGCTGAAGTTCTTGAGAATCAAAAGAGAAGATCCTGATGGTCATATAATAGAGTTTTAGGCTTCAATTGTGAACTGGAAAAAGAAAAAGAAAGAATTTGGGAGGAATGAATATAGGGTGAAGGTCATCCAGGCTAGAAGAGTATGGGGTCTTGCTTACCTTTATAGGAGTTTGGCGAGGCCAGGAAATTAGTTTTATGCTCCAAGGGGGCAACATGAGGGCAAACAGAGTCAGGATTGAGGTTCTGCCTAACCCCATCCTTTACCAGCAAAAGGGAAAAAAATGGGAGGCACTCTAAAACCCATAAGGTAGCCCATGTTGCCTGCTCATTACCTGTTCTTTTTATTACTGTCTGCTGATTGCTTGATCTTCCAGGAAAGCCTGGCTTGCCAGGGCCCCAAGAATTTACTGAGCCTTTCCAAAGTGACCAATGTGGACACTTCTCTTTACAGTGATGGTGGACAATCATGAGCTCCCCAAAGAGAAGGAGAGATCCTTGAAATTCAGAATGCAATTTAAATAGTAGGAGGAAACCTCAGAACTTGCCCTTGAATGAAATAAGACAAAGGTGGAAATCCATGACAATAGAATGTGGTAAATACTGTGAGATATTGAACAGAGATAATATACTCTGATAGGGAGGTAAATGACATAATGCTTCAGCTGAAAGGAGGAAGGAAGCCTCTCCTGGCAAGATAGCACTGGAGCTTAGTTCTGAAAAATTTCAGCAGATGAAGATGGGAGCAAGATAAGGGGACAATGCACAACAGAGGTACAGTTGGAAAAAAACATGGAAATATGCCGTGCACCCTGACGAGGAAGATTGATCTGCTCACACCTAAGTTGTGTCCTGCAAATTCCTCAATTTCTTTCATATGTAATTTGTTAAAGATAAAAATAGATTTTGAGAATATAATGGAGGATCATAGAGGCAACATAACTTGTTCAAGGACATCTAGCAATTCAGTGGCAGTGCTGGTATTGAAACCCAACAATTTCTGGCTCCCCAGTTCATGGTGTTTCCCAAATGAGTGAACCAATGATTTAATGAACGAAGGCAAAGTATTAAAAAAAATCTTATCAGTAGTTGTAAGGAATGCCAAGTCCTTGTCACCACCAGAAACAATATGGACTTAAAAAATCATATGAATATAGATTAATATTTTATCTTTTGAAAATAGTGTATTTTCTTTAAATGTGGATCCCTTTTAATTCAATGTGGGCTGAAAGTTGATTCTAGTCCTGCTATGATCCTAGTTCTGGGCTAAACCCAGTGGTGGACATCAAAGAAGCCTAAATGGAGTATTTGTTTTATAAAAATAATGGGGGTTTTAAGGAAAACAGAGCACACATCAGAGACCAAGGAAATGGGACACTCTCACTCTGGCCTACTCACAGAGTGAAATAAAGGAAGTTCCTGCCAGGTATTTGGCAAAAATGGCTGTGGATCAGAGCAGAGAAGATGTTCTCTGAAGCAAGAGCCTTCAGCTGATCTTAATAGTGTGGAAAACAGATTTTTGAATGGATAAAAGGCTTTTTTGTCTGACAAGATGTAAGCACTGTGACTACTTTCCAGTATTTTCACATGAATTTCATTCCTTTCTTAACAGATGGGAAAGTCAAGGTGCTGTGGTAGTGTGAACAACCATGGCAGTCCGAAAAACCACGGCTTGCATCCTGGCTCTGTCACTTACTAGCTAAACGTGGACAGGTTACATAATTTCTTTAAGCCTCTATTTCTTCATTTTTTCAGTGGAAATAATGGTGCCTAGAATCAGAAGATTGTTAAGGAGGATAAATTAGATAATGTCCTCTTCTCATGGGATTAACTCTGTGCTTGAGTCATAGAGAATGGTCAAGCAGTGTTAGCTTCTGCCACATAATGTAGCTGGAAAGCATGCCACATACTTAGCTGGTTCATGGCAGATGTGAGCCAATAGTGCCTATTTCCCCAAAATGAATTCTGGTTTAAAGCCATACACGAAAACTTATTTTTGCCCATGAGCGGGAACATGTCAGTAATAACTGTCTTAAGGCTGAAGAATTAGAGGTTGTATTTAAGCAAACAAACAAACAAACAAACAATCATAATGCTTCCACTGTAAAAGGATTATTGACCTTAAGTAAAAACATTTATTTTGCTATGAGATTGAATTTGCTTGTACTAAATCATTCTCTCTTATTCTTAAAATGAAATATTGACATCCAGAAAGCTACCTTGTCCATGCAAGTGACAACATTAAGGTCAGCCCAGAAAGTTGAGATTAATCTGAGTCAGTGAAAAATTTAGAAGGGCCACTGACAAAACGAGGACAATAAATTTCAAAGTACAGATTAAAAATGAAATTAATCCAGGTAAGCCAGAACACTAACCCTCAATATTTTTTTGAAATTCCAGGACATGCTCATAAATATTGATGGCATATCTCTGGAGGAGAAAGAAATCTTAGTGAATGGTGGAAATTAATGTTAAGGGACAGTAGTACTTATAAGAAATAAAGGGTAGAAATAGGGCCACATCATAGGAAATAATATATTTTATCATTCACTTTTTTATTCTTAATGCAATAAACATTTAGAAAATTTCCACACATATGAGACATTAGGATCAAATGATTAAAAAGTAGGGTCCCCACATAGAGCTTATATTTATTTAAGCAAAAAGACCCAATAAATCTTTCATTCATTTCTTCCTCCAGGAGTTCACAATCTATAGGGGGAAAAAGACAAGCTAATAAGCCATGACAATGAGTAAAATTATAGAGGTATGCAAATATGGAATTGGCTTGAAGAAGTTATGGTTAGTTAACCCAATCATTTCCAGACTGTTACTTTTTCAACATTTGTGGAAGTTCATCCACTATGAGGCTCAGAAAATCATACTGAGCTCTACTCTTCCTGTCTCTGTCATCTACCACGCCCCCAAGACACCTCATCTTATTCTATGAAAGGCTTAAGACTTGACTCAAGATCATGAACGCCAACTCTCTTAGCTGGAGCCTCATCTGTATTTGACACATCTAAATCTAGGCAAGTGTACCGTCTAAAATAACTCATTGAAAAATGAACTTCTTGAATTCTGGACGTGTTCATGAGAGTGACTCCTCCTCCCCCTCACACTTCTGCTCATCTCCAGGGCAATACTTGGGATCTCAACTACATGGAACATGGCTACATCTCAGAAATCTTAGAAGTCCAGCATCCCACTTTCTGGCTACATCTTTCCATCCCTTAACCAGTTGTTACATGAAGCTGGTACAACCAGGGGCAGATCCACGATGCATTTTATCTGAACTTATGCAATTTGAAGAGCCCTCTTTAAGAAAAAGTATTCCAATTACAAATGGAGAAGTGGTATAAAAATGAATACTTATAAGAAAAGAAACAAAAGTAAATCACTGAATTTTAAAATTAGACACCACATTACAAAATTCACTAAGAATCATAACATTTTAATTAATAAATTTGTACCTCTATAATTCTTTTTTCATACTTGTGGGCTGCATATGTTTGGCTGCATTCATGAATATGCAATGGATCTAGCACTACGTATTGATAAGTACATCATTTCCCATTGCAAAGTAACATCAACTTTGCATAACCAAATTTAGGAGTCTTCCTGCATGTTCCATTCCCTTTCATTGATGTATTTATCTGTCTCTGCATAAATTAACACTATCTTAATGATTGTAGCTTTAAAACAAATGTTCAAATTCAGCCTTCCAGCTTTGTTTTTCTTTTTTTTTTAAGGTTATCTTTAGGTATTCTTGGTTCCTTTCATTTCCATATACATTTTGACTTGGCTTGTTAAATTCCAAGAGAGCTACTTCTGGGATGTTGATTGAGATAGCACTGATCTACACATAAATTGGGGGTCATCTTAACCATATTGATCATCTTAACCCTATTGAGTCTTCCAATCTAATGAATGTAGTTTTACCTCCATTTTCTTAAGCCTTCTTTAACTTCTCTCATTATCATTATGTCCTGTTTGTTGTAGAAGGCTTAGACACCTTCCTTTTTAGCTTTATTCCTAGAAACTTAATAATTTTGATGCTGTAATAAGTGGCATCTTTTTAATTTCATTTTTAATGGTTTCTGGTATATAGAAAGAAAATTGATTTTGTACAGCTAAATTGTGTAAAAAACAATACAAATAGTTAATCTGTAGATTCATTTGTATTTTCTGGATATGCACTCACATCATCTGCAAAAATTGGCCCTTTTATTTCTTTGTTTCCAATTATTGTGATTCTTATCTCCTGTTCTTGCAATTTTTCTCTAGCTAGAACCTCTGCTATGATGTTGCTTAAAACTGTTGATGAGGGCTGTGCTCTTCTCATTCCCAACCTCAGGAGAGAAGTGGTCAAGATTTCATTATTGAGTATTATTTTTAATAGGTTTCTATTGCTGTTGTTGATATTCCTTTTCATATTAAGTATGGTACCCTCTGTGTCTAGCTTGCTATTATGTTTTGAAACATGAAAGGGTGTATGTTTAATTAAATGTTTTTCAGAATTTCTGGAGGCCTAACTGAAAATGTTTATTTTTGAAGTGAAAAAGAGTGGCATTTTTCCTGGTCACTCTTCTTTGGCAGGCCTTGAATACCAGTTCAGTTTGAGCAACTTTCTGCTTGAGCTTCTCAGTCTCATAGCGCTGCCTTGCTTATGAATTGGTGAATGACTGGAAAGGAAAAATAGTACAGAATGCATAGCTCGCCTTAGTGTGGTTCTCTTCTCCGGACCAAGCCCCTAAAGTCCTATTCAATTTGGTAGCTCTCCGGTGCCTTCAAATTTGTATCTGTTTTTTCTTTTGTCTTGCCTTTTTTTTTTTTTTTTTGACTCAGGTAGTCATTCTTAACAGAAGGATTAATGCAAGTGAATTTCTCAAAGCTTATACGCAGAAATCTGAATTTTGTTTTATTATTAATGGTGTAAGAAATGTCTTTCCCCTTTAAAACTTAGTATTGATGATTTATGTAAATTAAGAATATTTTCAAATTTGAGAATCCTTCTCTAACTTCTTTTTCATATATGAGCTGTTAGATTTGGAAACATTTTCCACAGCCTAGCTCTGACCCTGTACATTTCAAACATTATTTCTTTTCCACAACTCACACATTTCTTGTGCTGGATGCCCAAGACACATTCTTACGATGATCTGATATCTGCCCCTGCACTTTTTCACCATGATTTTGGATAGATGTACACAGTAAGTGGTAAGTATATTCTTGGAAACTAGTCCTAGATTGAAATTATTGGCAATAACTATACACGGAAGTAACTGCAAACTATGTAAGCCTATCCCATGCAAGTCCAAACTAAATGTTTCCCCCACTCAAGTTCCTCCTGGTGAGCTCCCAAAATACTTGTGTCCACTCCCATAACCAGCTGATACAAAGAGAAGTCTGACAGAGGGAAACCGGAGCAGAAGGATACAGTAGTGTTAAGCTGTGCATTCTCAATGAGGACAATATCTGCTCAAGGATATAAAAGTCGGTTCAAGGGCAGTGAAAAATCTTACTCTTTTATACATAAATCAAAATAGACACACAACGCATAACAGATATATAGTCCATAGGTGGTATTAAAATTTCATAGGGGAGGGCAATTAGAAAAAAATACGTCTAAAAAGCTGGTTGGGAGGCAGTATGTCTAAAAAGGCTGGTTAAGGAGGAAATAGTTTTTAAAAACATGTTGAGCGGCACTCTTTTAACCAGTTGAGGATAAAATGCCTTACTTCACAAGCTCTACGAAGACATGGCCATGTGCATTGATAAGGGCTCCTCTCAGGGTCTTGGGAAGTACCCCAATAAGTGGGGGGCTCTGAAGCCAAAGCTTCATTAGCTTCATGGTAAAACCACCCAAAATCCATACTACAGAAAGAGTCATCATCTATGAGGAGTCCATCTAGCTCTTCCCCAGCTATGAGAATTTCAGTCACAGATGAACATACGCTATAGGCCACGGAATCAGAAATAAGCATAGCAACTTCTTTTCAGTGGTACTACACTGTCCCTGCCCTCAAATGCAGGCAGAAGGAAAATTCTCAAAGGAATGAGTTGGGAAAGGACAGGGAAAGAAGAAATACCAAGCTACGGGATGAGAAGTGAGGGCCCACCACATCAGCTTACACTGCACCAATCAACCCGCCCAAGAACACACTGTGGGTGATGGGAGGCACATGCCTGATCATGCAACTGCTCAGGCATGTAAGGAAGGAAGGCTGCAGGGTACACCTCAAGGCTGCATACTTCTGTTACCTGTGGCACTGAGTTTCCTCAGCTCTGTACCTTTGCACAAGTATCTCTTGCCACCCCTCAAAGGACTTTCCCCCCATTTCCATAAACATGTCACTGTTCTTCCAGACCTAGCTCAGGTCTTTATATCAATCTGGCCTTACTCTCCCACATGGTTCCTATAGTAGTAGTCATTTAGTTACTCAGTATTCTAATTCTTTCTGAGAAAGTCCTATGTCCTATTTTCCGAAATAGTCTATGAGCTCCTTGCAATAAAACTGCGATTCTCATTCGGCTTTGTATCTTCAAACCAAGTGGAACAATGCCAGTATGAACTGCTGACCATCAGGAGCCACTGGAACCTGCTATCATTGTGGAGCTTTATGAGAAGACAAGCGGCAGGAGTGCTTAGATAATAAAGATGAGGTCACCTCTGTTTCATAATAGAAAAGCAGTAATTTTGTGAAGGATTGGGACAGGACAGAACACAAAAGAGTATGAATATATATACTTAAAGTTTCTAGTATGTTAATAAATCCCAGATGCAGAATCATCACTATTTCGCTCAGTTTGGGAAAGAAAATTATGTGGGGGTGCCTGAGTGGCTCAGTCAGTTGAGTGTCTGGCTCTTGATTTCAACTCAGGTCATGGTCTCAGGGTCATTAGATCAAGCCCCAAGTCGGGATCCATGCTCAGCCGGGAATCTGCTTGAGATTCTCTCTCTCCCTCAGCCCCTCCTTCCTGCTCTGTTTCGCTCTCTTTCTCTCAAATAAATAAAATCTATAAAAGAAAGAAAGAAGAAAGAAAAAAAGAAAAGAAAGAAAGGCGCCTGGGTGGCTCAGTCATTAAGCATCTGCCTTCGGCTCAGGTCATGATCCCAGGGTCCTGGGATCGAGCCCCGCATCGGGCTCCCTGCTCCACGGGAAGCCTGCTTTTCCCTCTCCCACTCCCCCTGCTTGTGTTCCCTCCTTGCTCTCTCTCTCTCTGTCAAATAAATAAATTTTTTAAAAAATCTTTAAAAAAATAAAGGAAGAAAGGAAGGAAGGAAGGAAAGAAGGAAGGAAGGAAAGAAGGAAGGAAGAAG